CTTTCATCATAAAATCTGATAAGGGACAACATCTGCCGGGGTAAAGTTTGAGCGAGTGCTGCACATGAATGTTGATGTGCGGTCTGCAAACTCCTGATCCGCAGCTCTCCTGATCTGCTGCTGCTGCGCGCACGAGAATCAACACTTGGTTGTGGACTCGTCGTTTGACTCCTAGAAGAGGCAGCGTGTGAAAACAGACATGACACTCGATTTAGTTATTTGTTTACCTTTAGCAACATAACTGGCATAGAAGCAGCAGCAATGGAAATCTCTGCTTCTCCACACTGAGGAGAGGAGTGTGCAGCAAGAGTGTCTTGTTTCTGAGTCCCTGCTCTGCTCTGCTCTGCTGTCTCATTATACAGCTGCTGTGCTGCTGGAGGACACTGAAGGACACAAGCGATTGAATTCAAGTGTTGTATATTCCCTGGAAACCAATCAAGAAAAGCCCCAGAATAATAATCCCTGTCCGCTGTCATGATTCATTTTTATTTTGTTCCATATTTTTCTCTGGCTTTTGAGTCACTCAGAAAGAGTAGTTCCAGCATGAAATCAATGTTCCATTAAAATTTAATGACCAGGAAGGGCTTAATAGTGGTGGAACAGATGCCTCTGCTTTTGATAACGCCGACATCTCAGGAACTCTTATTCAGAGCTATATTGGTGTTGTCAGGTCCTCTGACTGTTCCCGTTCTCCGCTGCTGTAGAAAACAAAGGATATTGGCTTTTTTTTTCTTTTTCTTTTCTTTTTTTCTTTTTTTTTTTTTGGTGCCTCATAGCGGTGAAATTAAAAGTTAGTAAACTGACAGTGAAACTCATAAAATCCCTCAAACATTGACAGAGGAGGCTACAGCTGATGGAACATTACAGTCATATAACTATAATCACGCACTGTGTTAATGTTGACTAAGGGCTCCTCCAAACACACACCAGACTCACCAGCTCTCAGCGTTTCATTTTGTTGCAGATATATATTATGAAGAAAAGTGAATGAACAGGTTGGTTTGTCCGTAAATGTCTGCAGTGTGTGTGTGTGTGTGTGTGTGTGTGTGTGGTGTGTGTGTGTGTGTGTGTGTGTGTGTGTGTGTGTGTGTGTGTGTGTGTGTGTGTGTGTGTGTTTTTCTCTCAGTGATTTAAAAAGAACAAAAAAAACAATTTCTTCGTATAAAAAAATCAAATTGGACTATTTTAAAAGAAATAAGAGTGGACTTGTAGGTTCCTTGTGCTATTGTTTTTATTAACGTTATCATTGCTATTGTTGTCATCGTTATTAATTGTAGCAGAACAAGATAAATCGAAACACCCCTCAGCAATCATGGCTTAAGTTTCTTCATACTCAGCTGGAACAGAGAGAGAGAGAAAGAGAGAGAGAGACAGACAGAGTGAGAGAGTGAGAAAGAAAGTGGAAAATCTTAATCAGTTTTTTTTTTTTTTTTTTTTCTTTGAGGACCATATGGAAGGTTTCAAGCAGCCAACCATATGTTGAAGGCTTTTGTCATGGAAATCATACTTTTTGGCACTTTTTCATTGCGCAGCCAAGCCGGGCACATAAATAAAAAGAAAACAAGAACAGAGAAATCATACAGAACATGATCAAATCTTTGAGAATACACAGAGTTTGAAGTTTTTGTTTGTAACTTACAACAGATAGCTTTTTAATCAAGACACTCCCTGATTCAAATGGCCACCCAGACGACTGCAATTGGTACCTGTATTTGTCTTTTTTTTCCTTTTTAATAAAAAAAAAAGACAACATGAATAGAAAAAGAGCAATTAAATGTCTACATGCATTGTCATATTATTGCTGTGATATATTTACAAATATATTTACAAAATTATCAAAGAGGAACAATGTTTCCCTACATCTAAATTCAGAAGTTTAGAATCAAATTGTGCCTCCTTTTTTTTTTTTTTTTATTTTGTAAAGAGGATTTTCTCTGAGGACGATCTGTATCTGTATCGCTGCCAGTTTCATAGACAACAAGCCTGCAGCACATTTCCAATTCCAAATTGTTTTTAATGATCTCACTACTTTTATCTTCCTTATTAAAACACAGTCCCCAGGTTCTGGAGGTACATTATATCTCTGTCCAACAGGAAAATATAAAACATCTAAAAAAGAATCTATTGGAAGTAATGATTTCTGCATTAGTTCAATAATACAGCAACGTGCCAAACACTGTGTTCTGCAAGTTAATCAGGAGACAGGTGGTTTGGATGCTCTCATGCAGTGATTCAGCTGTAGCACTTAGACGACCATTGACAGGATGATGGTGGAGCATGGAGGAGAGAAGAGAAAATCACAGCAGAGACACCTCTTTTCTGTCTTTTTTCTCCTCAGTTTTGTATATGTGTGTGTTTTTTTAAAACATTTTTTTTTTGGGGGGGCGAGCTCAGCATTACTGCGATCGTGTCATCCATTTGGAATATGCAAATAGCTGACAGTGCATTTGCCTGCTGGTGCTTGACCTTCCCCTTGGAGGTCGCTCACCGACTCAATTACGCTCCCTATCTGCAGTCTGTCTGCAAACACCTGTTATCCTCCCACACTCCGCCACCCTCCGCCAATCCCACTTCAGCACATCTCATCCTCGGTGCGTCTGTTTAGAGGCAGTTGGGGACGGGATGAGGACGGCTGGTGGGGAGGGGGGAGGGATGCCAGGCAGGGACAAATGATGGGGGAGTTAGAAGCGCATTACAGCGTTTCAGTTCTATTTCAAACAATCTCTGGAAAACTTTCTCTGCCGAGACAGTTCGCATCAAGATCATTTCCATTAGTGCTGGTTAGAAATGTATACAGCCATCCATATGTTATCTCAGCAGGATTCTCTCCTCTCACACCTCAGAGATTCGCTTTAGCTGTTTTAAACGGTGCTGAAAACTGTGGATGACTTTAAATTTAACTCTATTTAAATACTTCATTATGTCAGTGACCTAAATGAGAATTATTGTAATCCTGTTGTATAATATGTGACCTTCTAACAGTTCAGTCAAATCACGCCTGCCCTTCAGCTGCCAGAAGAGATTTTTTTTTTTTTACCTGGTTGCTCTTTAAAACAAAAGAGACAGTTAAAATGATAATATAAAATATATATATAAAGGATCAGCAGCTTTGTTCCAGTCTAATTAACACTTGTAGCAGTTTGGGAAACGCTCAATACAGGATTGAGTGTTGCTCATAGTTACTGCATCACTATCGTTATTGCTTTTACACATTTTTCAACCTTGGTGTAGCTGGATTTACACCTACATTATTCTGCTCTCTAATTTTAACAAATGGATACTGTTACATTTTCATGGCGATTTCTACATGCACATCAACATACGCCATTTCTGGGAATTATATATTGCCTGAGATTTAAAGACAAAAAAAAAGGGGGCCAAACACCTCCTGTCATCAGGAGGCAGGGGACTTTTGGGGGAAACAGCAAGATGGAGAATATTTTAGTCTTTCATTTGTCATTGTTTCTTTTTATTGCCCTAAATTGACTGAAAACAGGACAGCTGTGATTGTTATACATGTCAGTTGCTGTGTCAGTAAAGTTATTGCCACGAAAAACAAAAAGTAATTCTGCATTCATTTGTTTGAAGTCTTCTAGCACTGGTACTGTACATTGTTCCTCTTTAAAAAACTAAGTCCCATGGACTCTCTACAGTTTTCATGCATATAAACATTTTTCTTTGAAGATCAGCAGCATCTTACAAGGTCAATGGATGTTCATTTTTTAAATTATAAACCAATAAATAAATACATGATCATTAACAAATAAGCAAGTTTTCAATAAATACACAAAAAATAAGGTAAATAAATAATTAAATAAATAGATAAATAGGAAGATAAATAAAGTATTTACATGATAAATAGATGGTATGCATCTTAAACCGTGGGCGGAGCTTTGAGCGACATATAAAACAGACAAACAGAATAATTTGACTGTCACTTTGTAACTGAGGGTGTGTGAGTCCATACCGTCACTCTGAGGTAACACTGGCGGTGGGTGGGGGAGCACCTCAAACACTGGGGGGGGAAGATTGCTTGTTAAGACTGGACGATGCACCATAAAGGCAGCAGAGTTTATGCAAGCCACCATGGTGGAGGAAGAACAACGAGTTTTCATTGCTATAGACAAGTCAACTGCACATGGCACTTATAACAACAGATCATTTGGTCTGGCTCTTAGTGTTTTTGTCCGAGTCTGTTTGTACATCAGGGCAAGACTATATGAATTTGATCAGACGTAGTGTGTGATAACCTGTTCAACAGGCCTGTTCAACATTTTTAAAATCACTTGGAGGATTAAACTGAATGACCTATGGCCTATGATCTTGTATAGCTTATTTAAATGAGCTTTTTTTTGTTTTTTTTTGTTTTTGTTTTTTGAATACCCACAGTTACAAAGATGCTTTTGATCGACAAGGGATAATAAGCACAAAAAAATAAATTTAGAAAAATCAAATACAAAAATAACATCCGTTGAATTGAAACATTGGTGTGGAAAAAGGGGGTTTGTCTTTTTACCTTTTAAAATGATCTCCCTTTTTTTGCAAATACTGTCATAGTTCACATTTTCATAAAAAGTTCATGTTGGCAGTTGCAAAAGAATTCAATTCTTAGCAAATAAAAAGCAGCATAAAAATACAAGAGGTCATTTTGTCTCTAAAAAACAAAAGAACACTGTTAGTCCTTTTTTATGTTTGTTTTTTTTTCATTTTCTCTTTACTATTTGCTATAAAATATCAGGAATCTAAATATTATTACTATTGATATCAATATCATTATAGTCATTGATAAAAATTCACATGCCAGGCCTCATATATAATTGTGTAAGTGTGTGTGTGTGTTTGTCTGTGTTTGTGTGTGTGTGTGTGTGTGCACACGTGCGTACACGAATGTGTGTTTCTGTGTGTGTGTGTGTGTGTGTGTGTAAGTGTGTGTGCATACATGTCTGTGTGAATGTGTGTGTTTACATGTGCCCACATCCATGCGAGCACATGTTGCTTAATTGTGTACAACTATCATCTACAGTCTCTATTTGGGGGAAGGTTGTTTGATTGTATGTTTCTGTGGACGATTAGCTACTGTGCAGGGAAAAAATCCAGCATCTTTTGAAATTGTCTTTGCCATAATCATTAGAGTTTCTTCACGTAATCTCAGTGAAAATATTGCTTTCTAAAAAAAGGGAAGAAAAAAGGCATGGAGGGCAGAGTGAACAGGGTTATTGGTGGCGAACCTACAACAGGGGTTCAGAATTTTGCTTCTTCCTTGTGGTTAGTTTTCTGATCCAGAGTCGTCTTCGTCTGCAGAGCCCTTGAAGCAAGCTGACTCATAGTGCTTGTTCAGGTAGGACTTGAGAGCGAAGGTCTTATTGCAGCGCTTGCATCTGTAGTGCTTGAAGGCAGAGTGTGTTTGCATGTGGGCGCGGAGGTTTGAGCGGTCAGCAAAGGCTTTGCCACAGTGGGCGCAGGCAAAGGGCTTCTCCCCCGTGTGCGAGCGCATGTGACCTTGAAGGAGCCACGGCCGACTGAAAGCCTTGCTGCACACATCGCACTTGTGCTTGAGGTCGTGGGTGAGGATGTGCATGGCCAGCGCCGGCATGGACACGTACACTTTAGCACAGGTGGGACACTTGCGGGCCATCTTGCTGTCCAGGCTGCGGTGCGTCTGCTTGTGTCTGCTGAGGTTGGAGGAGGTGGCGTACGTCTTGCCGCACTCGTTGCAGGTGTGGCGAGGCGTGCCGGATCCCCTCTCCTGAGCCCCAGCGTTCGCACTGCTGCTCCTTGAGCCCCCTCCGCGACTCTCGGTGTCTCCCTTTCGCCTCGAGCGCCCGTCAGAGATGAAGAAGGCATCCATGGTGTAACCCTCGGCCAGGGCCTCCGATTCACCACTGTAGAAGCCGCTGGCTGTCATGCCAGACTGGGGGCTGTCGGGGTGCTTCAGGTCGGGGTCACAGTACTCCCCTCCGCTGCTCACCTGGGTGTACAGGGGGTCTGACACCGGCGAAGCCAGCTTGTGCTCCATCTTCTTCTCCCCCTGGTATACAGATGGCGTGATGTAATCCTGGATGTAGCCTGGGTAAGAGACACACGCAAACACAGTTGGCCAGGGGTTGTGATGGATAAGGACACAGTGACACGCTGGTGATTACATGATTATCATGTTGGATGATTGCCCTTCGTAAAATGGTGAAAGGAGTGAGTGGCAGCATAGAGCTAATTGCATTTTTTTTTTCTCCACAACTCACAGGTTGTACACACAATAGTGCAGTGATGCAGGGAAACAGGATGCGCTCAGCTGCGTTCAGGGAGGTTGCAATTTTACAGTGAGGATGAGTGCTAGATAATAGCTCATCACTGAAGTCTCCTGTGTGAGAAGGTGCATGTTGAAGCCCCTCTTAAATAAAGTAGTCTCATTGATCAGACATCCTTTTCTTCATCTATGGTGCATCACTTCTGTGGCTGGGGCCTGTCTCCATGGCTGCTTAATGAATGCTCTGTGAGCGCTGGCATTAGGATTTTTAGTCGTGTCTCAACACTAAACCTTAAATACATTATTTCTCCAGAATTTTTCTTTTTGCAGTTTTGTATTTTTTCTAATGAAAGTGCTGTAAGAAAACAACAAACACCTCAAACAGGTTGCTGATTTGAGAGCTTTCTCTATGAATTACTGTTTGTTTGTTTCCCTGCAGACTAATACATTTGATAGTTTTGGACCAGATCAACTTGTTACATCGCTACTTACATCCTGTAGGATTTCATGCTACTTCTCCAAGCAGGTTTAAGCATGATGCAGCAAAGCACAAAGTGCTATGAGCGAATTAAATCTCCCCCAACTGTACAGAGCATGATTTCAGAGAGATATATTTTTGTTGGCATCATTCATGTCTTTCCTTTCCCTCCGAAGCTGCTCAGTGCCAGAGGAGCTAAAAGGCTTGCTGGCAGCTAAACGCATCCAAACAGAACTCAATATATATATTCTTATGCTGTGAATCTCAGGAGCTGAATAAATACTAAATGCAATTTACCTTCAGGGTTGATATTGTACAGGTTGAACATATTAGAGCAAATATAAGATGTGGTGAAATTCCTTTCCTGAGAGAAATAGTGCATAACTGCAGAAAAAAAGCCATTCCTAAGCACTGTGTGCAGCAAGCAGTGGAAATTAGGTATTGACTGCTTTTTAATGAAATTCAAAGTTTTGAACTGATCAATAGGCTATCATCTGTAAAATAGTGAAGCTGCTTGAACAGTGGAGAAAGATCAAGTATCTGCGACACACAATAATGTTTCATTGAGCATGGTGCTGCTCGAGCCCCGATAATATGAAACATGGCATCATACACATTGTTTGTGAAGAGGGTCACCTGCCTACAGCGGCAAACGGCGCTGAAGTGCCTTCAAGAAACAGGCCATTAAGAAATCAGTTGAAGTGCTCTCTTACTACAGCGTCTCCATTCCCAAGGGTTCCTGTTCACACACCCACTTTGTCAAAGACATGACCGTGACACCCAGGGACAGGGAAACACCAGGCCTGTGCACACATTATCATGCTGCACTGCATGGGTTCACTGTTTTCAGCCACACAGATGGTGTTTGTCTGATAGGGAGAGCAACACTTCCTCTCAAAGAAAATAAAAACATGAAGGAAGATGAGTTGTTTGTAATTTTCAAAACGAAACTCTTACATGTACAATTAAATTCTGCAGCTGCAACAATTATTCGTGGCCACATCCACCTGTTTTACAGTCCCACCACAGAGTGGCATGAAAATAGCTGTAAACAGCACATACAACAGCACGGCCTTTATTTTGCTGATCTTTTTTTTTTCTCAACGAACCATAGTGCATTAGCGTAAGCAGAGTTGTTTACTATGTTTCAATTACCCAAGGTCAGACATGGAGCTCATCATTTAGGACTTGCACTGTATCAGCCTTTACAGCTCATAGACTCATTTCTCTAATGCAAAGCAAGCATGTAATTAATGGACCCTCTCAGCCACCCCTCTTTGTTGTTCAACAGACACTCAAGTCAAATGTCTCCACAATGGGGGGAAAGAAAATCTCCTGGCACGGCAGAAGTGCTGATGTTAGGTATTTCAGCCTTGCTGAGGATTCTTTTATTTTGCCTTTTCCCTTTTTTTTTTTTTTTTTTTTTTTTAAAACACAGCATGAAAAGGACGATTCTTTTGTTCAAATTAAACGCCTTTTTGTCAACATCAATGTAGTGCCTTATCGCTCTCTCTTCTATTTTAATATACTGCTTATTTTTCATGGTGTTGAACAATAGATTCAGGAACAATAGAGAGTGACAATAACTATACAAATGGATTCTTTAATAATAATATAAAATCACGCAGCAGGAAATCTGCAGAACAGTCATTACAAGCTACAATACATACCTGGTAAATATAAATAATGTTTTTATTTCTTGCCATATTTTTTTTTTGTCTTTACCCAGCAGCTTGTTTTGAATTTAACAAACCTCTTTAGTTTACAAACCAGCCCAGTCTCTTTTAGCACAAATAAAATGAAATCCACTAATCCTGATGCATCTAAATTTCACTCAACCTTGTTATTGACACAGCTGAATAACAGGTGGGCTTCATCACAACATTTAACTGTGGACTGTGGAGCCCCTCGCGCTGTGAAGATATCCCAACAAATCATAACAAAGACACACATATGGCCCTCTAAACGTGGCCACAAAATGGAAGCGGCGAGCTTAAAGCAGACCGTGAAAGTGAAGGTCGCCGCTCAGCGCTGACTGGAGCTTAGCGTGGTCGGTCTGTGTGTTGACCACAGTGCAGCTATGTGCCTTTCTTCATGTTTACTGTACAACCTCTATCACGTGATCGGCCTCATTGCTGCCCCAAGCATTTTTGTCTCCTTCTTTCTCCTTCCCTTCACTATCCCCTCAGCCCAGCTCCCCACCTCCCTCCCGGCCGTACTGTACAGTGTGTAGATGTCTCTAGTGGCGACGATAGGCCTGCATGGCTGAAACTCTAACCCCTGCTAGTTTTCAAATGCCCGGAAGGAAGAGAAAGATGTAGTGTAGCGATGGGGGTGGGGAGACTGTGCATGCTCCATTTGGATGGGAAGAGGGGGGCAAGGGAGGATCGGACTGTGATGGGAACTCAAGGACAATAACAGCTAAGGACAAATGTATCATCTGATACTCATCTCTCATATTCATGAATTTTTTAGTGCACATGATGACCAGATACAGTCAGTCTATGCGTGTTCAGCTACCACAGGGTTGGTGAATTCATACACATACGTAACTGGAGCTTCTCCCGATTAGACACACGTTGTGTTGCCTATTTACATAAGCTAATCCGTGGCTGTGACCTGAATTGTGTCTGTCCTTCACTGGAGTCAAAAAACAAAAGTCTGGGAGCACAGAGATGGGGGTGGGGTGCCTCTGAAGGGGATTATTCAGGATACTGATGCAAAAATCAGCTGGCTGCATGTAGCATCTCATAATAATTTACACTCTACGAGCATGTTGTTGGCCCCAAGCTAAAGTAAAATCTCAGCCGACACAAAAACAAAAGAGGATGCCATCTGTGCTAAGTGTGGAAATGTCAGGCATGCTGAAATCAGCACCGGAGCTGACTACAGGCAGGAGCGCTGGCACATCTCTAACTGGAGCGGGGCAGACTAGTGGAGGCATGTTAACTCACCATTCTCACTGAGACGAACCCCAAGGCTGGTCACCGAGTCTGTGATGGAGCGTGCAAAAGTGAACGAGTCGTCCAGGTGGTGATGATGATTGGATGTGGCCACATTGGACGAAGAGAAATCATCAAGCTTGATCTTCTTCACCAAAAATGAGCGGGGCATGTTTCAATGGATAAAAACACAGAGCTGAGAAAAACGCATGAGAGAAAATAAAAAGACCCTCTGAGGAAGCACGCGAGCAGAGCTGGCTTGACGGTAATCCTTGCGGTTAATGTGAAGACAACGGCCAAAAACATAAGATAAGAAAGAAAATGGAAATCAGTGGAGAACAAGGCTGACGGCAATGCTGTGTGATACTCTCTGGCTCCCCCAGCTTCCCCCAAGAAAAATAAAAAAATAAAAAATAAAAGCGATCCTGTTCAGCACTGGATAGCTCCTGTGATGCAGCAGGCTTAAGGGACCAGTGAGGAAGAGAAGAGATGGAGACAGACAGAGAGAGGAGGGAGAGAGAGAGACTGTCAGACTAGCTGAGATCAGCAATCACGCCAGCCTTTATATGGGGCACAGGCAGTGGAAGATCAGGTGGTGCTGCGAAATGGAGCTGCTTAGCTTTAATCCATCAAATGTCCCCGGGGACACACATCAAATTACTACTGAACCGTCTGTGCATTCGCACACAGACAGAGGAGAAAGAACACAGCCAGACCCCCACTGCCCCCACTGCTGCTCCCCCTTCTCCTTCACTCCCCTCCCTCTTTCACCCCGCTTATGCTCCATGCTCGGAGGAGGAGTAAAAGAGGAGGGCAGACAATGGAGATGTGGATGAGAGCACACTCAGTGTCCTGTCCCCCATTGTTTTCAGATGAAGTGGCACAGTTTATGTTTGCCGTGTACAGGCGCTGCCTCCCTCATGTCATCTCTGTTACCTCAAACAGCCTCAGATCTTTCCGTCCCTTCGACACACTGCACTGTACTCACAATCACAGAGCACACATACAGTAGAGGAGAGGTTAGCTGAGCGTCTGCCAGTGCTGGACCTTTATTCTAAAGCTGCACAGGATACCAGCACTGTTGACGAGCGGGCTACCGGGGGGGAAGTACTAGTGCTGCACTGCTCAGCTTGTCTCTCTCTCCCCATTATCACTGCACAGATGTGTGTCCTGCCATGCGTGGCAGTGAATTATCTGATTAATTAATTACATCTTTTTTGATTAGGGTGAAATCTAGAATTAGATCCGTGCTTGCTAAATTGGCCAGATATCTCTGGGTTGGTTTGTATATGTGTGGATTCATTAGTTCACTCTATGAATTTTATGCTACATTATACAGTGTATTTTTCATTAGAGCTCAACAGTTGTTGTTCCCTCGTTAGAATAAATCAAATTGAAATAATTACAGAGGAAAAAAATCTTGTGTTTGCTTCTAAAAGCAACAAGTTTTCAATTGAAACAGAAATGATTCACCTGTATGATTCATCATCAACTGGAAACACTTGTGCCACTTGTTTGATTAATTAACATCTGACAGCATTAAAACAATAAGATTAACGACTAACACTTCTATTCCTGTTACAGCAAACATAATATCGGTGGAGCAAGTGTAGGCATCAGAAAGTAGTGCAGATCTGTGTGTCTACTCTGTTCTGTCCTATTGTGCAGCTGTTCTGCTTCTGTGGCTGTTGTGTAACAGTGGCTGTGGTGAGGTCATCATGATGGAAAAGCAAAGTATTGCAGGAGGAAATTGATTTTTTTTTTCAAATGATTTCAAAAAATAAAATGTTAGAAAATAGCGAAAAATTGCAATTTCTGCAAAAACCCCAGGTGACATGTTTAAATTGCTCATTTTGTGCATTCAACAGTTTAGAAACTAAAGCTATTTAATTTAAACAGTTTAATTTAAAACCAAAAAAACAGCAAATCCTCATGTTTTAGAGGCTGTAAATATTTGCTTGATAATTGTCTTTAAGGAGCTATATTTAATGTTGCTAGACAAAGTTAGCATTAACAGCTGTTTGCTAACCAGTCGAGAGGAAATGTTGTGGGTTCAGAATCAAACTTCATTCCTGTACTCAGCAAGAGCTGACACCAGTGGTGGAAACAGAACCACTTTTCTTTTGTTTCTATTTCTATCACTATCACTATCACTTCCTCTGCTGAAGTTAGCATGCTAACCAGCTAGCTCTCGCAGTTCCATCTCGTAATAATACTTGATTAATACGTTATAGTAGTGTCCAGTCCACCTGGCAAGTGACCATCACCACCACCTGCTCCTGGCAAAAGAAACCATGTTCAGCGGCAACTTGCATACAGCACCTTTAGTGGTTGATTCCTAAAATTATTGCTTAATTTTCTGCTAGTTTTCACAGTATCTGCATTAGTTTTATATCATTTTGTTCATTTTAACACTCATATACTCAAACAACATGTTTACAATGAAAAGTGTATAAGACCACTTGTAGAATCCCCTGGAAAACTTGACAAAGTCCTTCAGCCTTGAGATGGAAGGCTGAACTCATGACTGATGTCATTCATTTCATTTTGCACTTTCCATGTCGATCAGGCTCCTAAAATCGTGCTTGAATGTGGTTAAAGGTGCTATAGATTTATCCAGACGTTTAGGGGTGCCCCCCTCACCCGGGTCACTCTAAATCATCCTTGCCGCTACGAGTGACCCTGCATCTCGGACGCGACAGGTTTCAAGAGGGGGCGGTTGTTAAATCAGTGCAGTCAGGATTTATCACACATATGTGATTGTACATTACGGGACAAGTTCACGTTGCTGTCACCAAACTGAGCTTATAGTGTAGAGGCAAGGACGAGGAAGGTCAGGGGAAGCATCACTGTCTAAAATAATGAGCTGAAGTGAAGCTTTTTGTTTTTGTTTGTGGTGTAATATCTCTTTTAATAAACATCATCTTGTATGAGTCGTCAGGTGAATATTTCACAGAAAATCATAAACTCCATTTCTTTAATTATCCACCACCTGTTTTCCTAAAGATACCATCACCTGCAGCGTCTCGTGTTGATACGTCAGGGTTGTTGCAGAGATCATGATTTGTTCATGAGAAGAAAAAATCTCTCTAACTGCTAAATTATTCTTCAGTCTTGATTCCATGGAGCAGGAAGGTTAAAATGAACAATGAACCTGCCTTGACTGATATTGAACTCTTTCAGCATCTTTTCAAACCTGCAGTCGGTATCTTGGTGAGCTACAGTTCACCTCTGACAGACGCTCTCATTATTCTGCCCCTCTGTACGGTGCAGTGAAGCTCAGCGAGTTTCCTTCTTTAAAGTATAAACATGGCAATGCTCACATCAATATGGCAAGTGCAGGAGTTTTGAGTAGATATTTAGACGGCAGTAGTGAGGATGGAAAGAATCTCAATCAGGGCTGCAATAATAAGTAGTTTTATTATGGAATAATATTACAAATTAATCAATTGATTATTTAGTCTATGAAATAAAAAAAAAAAAGCAAACACCCATCCCAACTTACCAGATCATTACTCCAAAACTGAAAGATATTCATCTTAAAGTAATATATGACACAAAAAATCTGCAAATCCACCGATTTTAGACACTGGAACCAGAAAATATTCAGCAATTTTTCACAGTTTTGCTTGAGAGATGACTGAAACGACTAATCAATTAACAGAGTACTTGCAGATTATTTTTCTGCTGATCGACTAACTGATTGATGACAATCGTATCGAGTCATAAATCGCATTCAGGTAAATCGTATTGTGACGATGCAATCATGTTTTGTTATTGTTTTTTTTCCAACACAACAACAACGCTGTTTAAATAACTGATTGAAACCTAGTAACAAGTTATTAAGGTTTCTGTTTTTCTGAACCACGATGAGTTTATATCAATTTTTCATATATCTGCCATATTTATTGATACTGGAAAAGCACTTATATTGATGTCCGCTCCCCCAGCTGAGCCCGGGCTGAAATGTAATGACATAATGGAAGAAGCCACCTGTAACTGGAAAAGACGTCAGTCAGCCTGTTTACAGTAACATCACATAAAATATTCTGTGCTCAGGCTGTATTCTGCCTCATAGTAATATAATATGTAAATTAATTATTGCACCGCTCCATCATGTATGAGATTTAAAGACAAGTTAAAGAATGAGCGCAACAAGTTAGCTACAGGTTAGAGGTGAATTGTGACAAACAAGAGGAAACATGCTGTTTCAGTTTACTTGTTTCCAGCAGCAGGAAACTCATTGCCAATTGTTTCCACATCCTCCTCCTCCTCCTCCTCATGCCAGAGCTCCGGTCCACTTATGGCCCCCAGACTCCCTCTGACATGTGGTCACTGCCTCAGGACGTTACCATAGTGACTGACCCCCTCAGGCTGGAGGAATGGTTTTTACTTTGCTTTGCTGGAGCGGGGGGCTTCACTCTGGTCAGATGGGATGGGGGGGGGGGGGAAGCTGTGATACAATCAGCCTCATTTACATCCTGTATGGCCCTCCAGGGTTACAGAGATGACCTGGCCCCGCCGAATGAATGAAGTCAATCTAGTTGATTTGTTCCTTTGCACTGTTCCACAGGAGACTCCACCTACAGTTACCCCATCTGCAGAGCTTTATTATCTCTATTTACAGACATGTGAAGTCTGTTTAATCATTTAGCTTTCAGCTAATTCATACACCTGGCAAACTCTGACAAAAAAGAAGATTAACTGAACAGAAAATATGATTTATGGTCTCCTAATAGCCACTGCTTATATAAAGACACTCTGAGCTTGTTGGGGTAGGTGAAGAGAAGCTAAGAGTCCATTAGGCATAGCCATCTATAATTCACCTCACTCTTGCTTACTGGGTCACTTCAATGAGGCTTTTTTGAGCTGCTACAGCAGGAGACTGTTGTGCTCTTTAGAAAGACAAGAGATGATGATGATTAAAAAGTTTAAAATACAACATGAATTTGTTTTAGATGCAACAAGTATATATTTCATTACAAAGGTCTTATTTATTTTGTGACTCTGGCAGCCGTCATGCATGCATTTGGCGCAAAATCCTTTTTTAAATGTCTGTTTACACAGACAGTGATCAGACATGGCTCAATGGTTAAGGTCACGAAGGCAATATTTAACATTTTACTGTGGATTCCCAGTCCAACATGAAGTCTGAATGGACTTTAACAGCCTCCCCAGCTGTACTGTATCTAATGCTGTTTGGCAGATAGTTCAGTGTATCACTCATGCCCTATTTGGCTTGTGTCTGCCTGTTGTCCTGTATGCATCTCGGAGCGTGTGTGCATTTGTTGTCCATGGGCAACTGTTCAGTAAATAGGGCAATTAAGTGTGAAAAGCAGAAAGGAGCTAGCATGTTCCTATCTCTTTGGTGGGGGAG